CGAAATATTGATTCGCACGATCGATGGGGAGGGGCAAACAAGAATCCAGGTCATTCGGAAGAAAATAATGACGTAACGCATCTGTCTGATATATTTCTTCATTGGCGCTTTGTATATGCGCCAGTGTGTGTATGTGAAATATTGTCACGATCAGACTGTCATAATATTATCATTCACTCGCGGTAAAATAAAGATTTTAATTTCACAAATACATCGGGAACGATCGTAAATATTTGAAGAAGAAACCGCGATATATATAATAAATTATATGTATATATGTATGTATATCGTCAGCTTCATAAATCAATTACTGTACGGTAAATCAATCCCTTTGCTCACTTGGAAAAACATTTCCGAATAAATTTGTAAGATGTGCGAATGAGTGCTGTAGAATGTGCTGGCGACACGACATTGCATCTCCATCTCTCGTGTGCGACAGCTCGTAAGTTACAATCCCGGTCAACATTTTTTTGCCGTTGCATCTCTCTCGTGAAGCGAAAGAGAGAGATCAGAGAGAGAGAGAGCGCGCGCGCGGATTTGTATTATATACTTGTTACTTATTTGAGGCATAAATACATGATATTACAATATAAAACGAGATTTCGACGTTGCTTCTACGCCGACTGTATAAATGCAAATGTAACCGTTACCGAAGTAGGTGGGTAGTAGAGGAGACTTGCTTAATCGCGAGTGCTCGAGCGTAGATAGAGGTTGGCAGTAAGCTCGATCTCGTCGGAGGGACCACACAGCTTTTACGGTAATTACAGAAGGAGCGTGATGGAGATCTTTCGCCGGCGATGTTTACTTTCTTGCGGGATAATGCGCAAGAAACTGCCGTCTTACGATGTAATAAGCGCGTATCAACGTTGTGTGATGCGCGAGATATCGCAAGTTTCCGTCTGCAATCGAGCAAGGAAATGGACTCTCCTCCTTCAACGCGCACTTACGATTTTTCAGTGTTTCGAAAAAGAAGGGTAAGAAAATCTGTTTTCGTTTATTCTCTCTCGAGAAAAGCGCAAAAATCCCGTACGTGCCTGTTGCAAATTAAAAAGCAAACGATTTCATTCTTATATACACCCAATTTCGTTACATCGAATTAATTTCGCGTCGCGAACAATGCGGAGACTTTTATAAACAAACAGCGATGAGTTTGCATATTTTTTCCTTTAGTCGTCTGAAAGTTGAGAGACGCGAGCGAACTTAACTTTTCTGAATCCGACAAGAACAGTGGCAGTAACCGATGACCTTACACAAAGGCAGTTTGCATCTTGAATACGCTGTATAGTCTATATCACCGTCATAATCAACTCCAACAAACTCTCTCAAGATCTTCACACATGGCAGTTAACAATAGAAAAAAAACTGCTCGAATAAAATAACGTGAAAATTCTGTGAGCGAGTGCACTTTCAAAATTCTACGAAATAATACAAAAATTTGTTGAGCGAAAATTACAGTCGCAATATTTTAAAGCGTAAGTTGTGAAAAGAATGAAGACCTTGGATAAAAATTTAATGTATACCTGTGTATGCATATTCAACGGCGGCGGTTAAAACACGAGGAAGAGATTAATTATTTTTCTGCTCTAGATTTTTTTCCACTTTATTCACAGTTTTGCCCCCGTATTAACTGTTACGCTTTGATAATCGTCGGTAATGAAGAATTTTTTTTTTCTTTTTTTTTTTTCATGTCTGTGTGAGATAGAGTCTCGTCAAGCGCATTTCAGCGCACGAGAAACATTTAAAAAACTAACCGGATTATATTTCTCGTTGTGTAACTTGAAATAATTATCGGAAAATCTCATTGATGATGTTGTAATTAATTAACACGCGCGCACAAAACCGCGTTTTACACTACGTTGTGCTATTTTATTTATTTATTTTAACTAGCGATAAAGCGGCGCGTTCTAAATGTATATATTTGCGTGTGATCATAGCTCGTACACACGTTATTTATACAACAAAAAATAAGGTTTGCTTATAATAACAACGGAATTGCGTTATTCCACGATTTGTGATTTAACACATAATAATTTATGAAAATACGTCAAATAAGAGTGTCAAACAAAACAAAAACCAGAATAAACAATTTTACAGAACAGGAAATGTCTTCTGTAAATTACAGAGCGATCTCTTCAAAAAGAATGAGTACAATGATAATAGACACGAGTGTCGCTTTGAGAAAAGTGTCGAAAAAAAGTAGCGACGGATTTTTCTCAAGCCTACGTTGTGCGAATAAGTGGCATGTATAGGCACACCACCTGTTACCTCGGAAGCAAGACGAGCGCGCGTTCCAATTAGGGGAATGAGCCTCCTTTTATCGCGCGCCGCGGAATGAGAGGGAAACCGCGAATAAACATTTTCCCTCCTCCCAACTCCCTCCCCCTTCTCCGTATCTCATTTCACGGGGCACGATAAAGTACCAGATGGCGTTAGACCGCCCTTTCGCCAAAGGTGATGCTTCTTTTTCTGCGCTTACTTGAGAAGAAACCGCCAGCGCAGCTGAAAATGTTCGTAAATTAAAAAACTAAGGATCTGAGATCTCCGTAACACACAACTTTGATCTCAGTCTAATTACTTTCGAGAAATAAACACCAGATTAATATAGAATATATTTAAAAAAAAAGAACTACGATTTTCTAGACTTGTTAATAAAGCATGAATAAATCATTTGGACTGATGATTAATTTGCGAATAATCGAGATTCGAGAAAAAGATAGAGAATAACATCGAAATCAAATTGAAGTGTGAAAAAAAGAAAATCTATGTAAAACTCGTAGAAAAAAAAATTTTGAAGAGAATAATTTTGTACAGTGAGGTAAATCGATTTATCCCTCACTGGGATATCTGCATAGCGAACATTTCCACCAGAAGTGCGCCCTACGAAAAAACTTCCGGCCAGCTGGTCGATCGCCACCCCCCTACTCTCACGAAATTGATCAACCTGAACGTCTGGTCACGGTGACGCACGTTAGAAGGAACTGCTTACGTGTTTTTGCCACACGACGCCAAGGGTCAAGTGAAACACGGAACTCCAGAATAAACAGAGTCATTTTTCAGTAAATCCCCTGGCCGATCCTTGCCAAAAAAATATGTGATTCGACTTGAAGATATAATTAAACCACATCCGCTTTTCATCAACGCGTTGCTAATTAATTGTCCAAAAATTCTTTCCACCGATATTTTATTGAGCTATAAAGTACAAAGATCACTTTTGTGCACATTATTTCCTCAATGATATTTCTTTCTTCAGAGATAATTTTCAGTTTTCGAATATGGTGTGTCTGTTGTCGCTATACGGAACGCTTGTTCGAAAGCGGACTTTCTACCGATACACAGAAAATAAACGCGGCGCACCGAATTATGCTTTCATGGTTTATGGTTCTTGATTAATTGCGGATTATTATCTCCCGCTCATCATTTTGCGCAATCACCACGAAACAGGATGCGCACAGGTTGTTCCAGATAATTCTCTTTCCTGCTTTCTTTTCACTCGCGAACTAGCATTTGTTTTTTGTTTTTTTTTTGTTTTTTTTTGTTTTTTTTTTTTTTTNTTTTTTTTTTTTTTTTTTTATTCCGGCCTTCGGAAAGTTTGCAATGACCAACCTATTTAAAGAAATATATCCGGCACGTTATCGATAGCTTATGCAATAGGCATTACGTACGTAGATCGCGTTATTTAGTTGGAAACGCGCGTTTCTCTTTTTCCGGTATTGTTACCGATGAAAGTTTCGAGAATTTACAACCCGTCTTTAAATCGACATTAATTTCCAAACATTCCTTTATTTTACGAGACAAATAAAACAGAAAACAAGAAACATTCTTCTTTATCTTCAAAAAGTTTACATAAAAAAGTTTCTTTCGGTACGAAATCGCCAGCGAGATTTCTAAAAGTACACAAATATACGTTCGTACATACGCTTGTTCGCAATTCGCGAAGACAGTGTTTTAGGGACGGGGAAATTTCGCCGGAAATCACATATCGATCGTCAAGAATTATAGCTCATTGAAGTTGCGGCTGCCGAGCAGCCAAATCTGAAACGAGACGACCGAATCCTGGACAATCTCCAACGCGCCGTTTCTGTCGCTACACACGCGAAAGACGCGGTGTTACCGAAATATTAAAGTAGGCCAGAGAAGTCACTGAAGGATTATCGTTGGAATTGCGCAATGTTTGTCGGTGCAATTTGTTGCACTATCTTTTTACAAACTTTACTTCTTGAGAAGTAAATAAAAAACTTAGAATGGCGGTGAGAGGAGAGAGACTGTGATTAAAAAAAAAAAACAAAAAGTGTCAACCAGTCATTTTAATATTATTTCTAGCACATGAAAAGATATTGCATACGAAAAACTTGTTGTAACACAATATTGCGATATTCATAGACTCGATCGTTTTAATATGATTGTGCACTTTTGCCGAGGTACTCTGTGAGATCGAAACGGCATCACGCTCGATAAACGGTGCGGTAAAATTATCAGACCATCATTTCGACATGTTCGCCGTCAGGTGCATCATAAACGATACACACGCGTCTAATGTTGCGCGGGCCACGTGCATCATTTACGATGAGAGTTGAAAACAGATATGTATTCGAGCGCGCGCGTATGCATATATTCGACGTGCATCCCGTTTCGCGGCTATTCCATCGCCACTTGCGCGTAGAAATTATTAACGCGGACTTTGTACGACTTGTGATCGATCCCCATGAATGTGTTTCGATGTACACATAGTTATGCGACGTACATAATATCGCGGATCAAAACGGAATGCATGAAATCAATAAATGTAAAATAAATGTTTCAACTTGTTTTTCGAAATTTGTTACATGTAGTTTTTTTTACAGGATTTTATTATTTAAAGATTAAAAAAAAAACGTAATTAAAAAACTGCGATCAAATCTATCTTTGTCTCTTTTTTTTTTTTTTTTTTTGAATATTTATACGTAAGTGAAATATTACACATGGTTGTAATTGCGTTGATGTATGATTTTGTGTGTTTTCAGGTGATAGATTTCGGCTCGAGTTGCTACGAGAACCAACGGGTGTACACGTACATCCAGAGTCGCTTCTATCGCGCGCCAGAAGTGATATTGGGTGCGCGATACGGGATGCCGATCGACATGTGGAGCCTCGGTTGCATTCTGGCAGAACTGTTTACCGGGTTCCCGCTGCTGCCGGGCGAGGACGAGGCGGACCAACTGGCTTGCATCATCGAGATGCTGGGTATGCCGCCGCAGCGGCTGCTCCAGAACTCGAAGCGATCACGTCAATTCATCAGCTCGAAGGGCTACCCGAAGTACTGCACCGCGACGGCGATGCCGGACGGCACGACAGTGCTAAGCGGGGGTCTCTCGAGACGCGGCAAGCTGCGTGGTCCGCCTGGGTCGCGCGACCTTGAGACCGCCTTGAGAAGTTGCGCGGACGAGCAGTTTCTGGACTTTCTCAAGAATTGTCTCGTTTGGGAGCCGGAGTACCGGATGACGCCGCACAAAGCGCTTAAGCATCCGTGGCTGCGCCGCCGGTGTCTACCAAGGCCGCCAGGCGATAAGAACGACACGCTGCCGGCGGTGACATCGGCGACGCAGCCCGTGACTACCGGCGGTCCCGCCCTGAGAACGTCCGCGTCCGGCAGTAGGAGCTCCAGCAAGACCAACAGTCTGCAGAGCGGCAACAACACCAGTGACGACATCGCGACGAGCAAGACCACGACGGGACAGCAGAGGAATCGTCTGGTGGAGGACGTGGTGTCAAGTTATACAGGTTACGGTAGTTCGTACGTGAGCGGGTCGCAATTACATGGTAGCAATTGGGGCGGCACAGCAGCAGGATTGAGTAGTGGCCATCAATCTCTCAACTCCGTCGGCGGTGGCGGTGGCGGTGGCGGCAGAAGTTCTTCCAGCAAGACGAACAGTCTACAGACCGAAAGCAACACTACCGACGACATCCCCGCGAGTAAGACAACGAGCCAGCAACGGAGGAACCGCCTCCTTGCTGGCCTGAACAACGTGGTGTCGACTTACGCGGGTTATGGAGTGTCTCAGCCGCATAGTAACACTTGGGGCACGAGCGGAGGAATGAGCAGCAGCGGTCACCAGTCGCTCAACTCCATCAGCAGTCGGAGTTCCAGCAAGACTAACAGCCAGCTGCAGACAACCGCGTCAACCGGCGACATTCCCGGCAGCAAGACCGATCGCCAGCAACAGCAGAGGGATCGTGCGAGCGAGTTGCCGGTTACGATCTTCGATCCTTATCCCCTAAACTCTTTCAGTTGTCTGTCGGAATCCCAGTTGCACGGGAATCACCGGGCGAATCAGAGCAGTAGTCATCAGTCGCTCAACTCCCTCGATGGCACGACCGGCAAATCACAACGTAGTCGGCAGGCGCAGCAACAGCACAATAATAACAGCACATCGCATGACAATTACGGCTCGCACGGCTCTTCGAGCTCTAGCCGATTGGTGTTATCGCTGCATCCGGCGGTCCAAGAGATCCTCGAGGAGTTGAAGCGATAGACCGAGACGTGGGGCCACTCTTTCTGCTCCCTTCATCCTTTTCTTCGCTCACTGCCGTCCTCGTTGCTGTATGACGTCGCGACACGGCCAACGAGGATGCATCGGCACTGACGACTCGCTCGCATAAATCGAATAAACCTTGGGCTGTAATTTGTTGTTCGAGCGACGGGGCAGATTCAACCTGACATTTGGCATTCAGGTCTTAAAATTGAGAGGGATTACTCAAGGTCGACAGGGAGGATGGCTCATTAGCGATCGACCGTCTCATTATCGATCTCGGATTCACCACTGTGATTCACGCGTTGCGTTTCTAGTTTCGTCAGTGTGAACTTGTTATTGAAAGGAGGTGTGAAACGGTTACACTTCGGCGAATACGTGTGGAAGAGATTTAAGTAATTGTCTCTTGACCAATATCGAGATAATTTATTCGAGGAAAAGTATTCTCTTTGGAAGTGGAATAACAAAAAAAAAAGTATATA